TGCCTTGCCTGCTGTGTTCCACCAGTTCCACATTGCGTTATCACCAACATATATTGTGTTCAGGTTCAAAAACAAGACCTGTTGGCAATAAAGGCTGGCTTTGCCAATGCAGTTTACATCCAAAAATGTAATCTTTTGAAATCTCTAATTTCTTCCTAATTATTTCCATTACTTTATGTAAAATTATAGTGATTGTAATGAAGACAGCCAGGTGGACCTCATAGAATGAGTTCCCTGGTTGGTGCTGTTAATCTGGTCCAATCAGGGAGCACTGGCTGACAGATGTAAACAGGAGGAATGTCAGATATCCTGACAGTCTGGGAGTTCACTCTAATGAGGCTGTACCAGAGTCGAGGACTTTCCACATGTAAGTAAAGGGTGACTTGGTGACAGGATACTGGCCTCTGTGGAGTTATTTTAAACATGTTGACTCATGCTGTGGTACAGGCACAAGGAGTCCTCCACAAATTACCATTCTTCATGTGTGAGCCTTATGGCGAGCATTGGCATGCTGTTTAACTTTAAAGGCAGTGTAAGTCAACTTTGTTCTTTCCCCTCCTGATGTCCAAACTTAAGTCTGATATCACTTGGAGAGCATTTAGTAGTGAGGATCTTGTCTGACTTTTATTTTCTCTCCTCTTTAGCCCCAGGGAACCCAAGGCAACTGTAACACTTCCAAAACCATTACCCTGACTCAACACAATATATGGATCAATAGCAGGCTTCCTCTGTTCTGTGTGGCTTGGTACCAAACCACATAGTACATTGACACACTGAATAACAAAAGGCCATGAATAACTCAGCTTATTTAAAGATGTTGCAATTCTGCCTTGAAAGCTGCTGCTGGTATAACATTTAACTAAAATTAAACAAAACTGAAGGCTTTTGTTGTTTCTTTGGTCTATGATTTCATTGTCATAACTATTTCAACCATTATCCAGATTAACATCTTCCTTAAGACCAACAATCCTGTAAAAAGAATGTTGCAATGAGACATTGGAAGAGCATCAGTAAATAACAAGGGAAGAAAATACAAAATTACTTTGTGTATACTGACCCAAATTCTCCAATGACTCGCTTTTATTCATTGGTCCTCACATACTTAATTAAATATGAAGGAAGCTTTTGGCTCTAACACCAGTATTAGAAACATGCTGCGTTTGTGCTGATTCTATGCACAACATATTCATTTTTATCCAATTCAATGTTATTGTTTTTCAGAGTAGAAGTAGAAACACATCATAGATTAAAACAACAGCGACGTGAAAGCTAATCAAGCCTTCATCAGATGGTTTCTATAGTTCCTGAGCTTCACATCACACCATGACTGCCTGCTTTGCAATCCTGCCAACCTCACCTTCTCCACCCACATAAATTTCAGTATCTTTCTGATTTATTTCTTCGAAGCAGCTATTAAGTTTTGGAATTCGCTACCAATGAAACAAAGCTTCCTTTTACAATGAAACCTCATCATGCCAATGCACATTGGTTGTTTAATTTTTCAGAGACTGCACCTTCAGCTGACTTGCACTTTAGTACCAGGATTGCACAGTGTTCATGAACATTTTTCACTTCTCTACCTCTCTCTGTTCCGCATTCAGACACTCCTTAGAATTTATTTCCAACGAAAATCATCCCAAAATCACTTTTTTGCTTCATGTGGAGGTCTGTTTGATAGTGCTCCTGGGAAGTTCTTGGGACATTTAGCAATGTTAAAGCTGCTACATAAATGCCAGAGATAACAAGGTGTAGAGCTGGATGAACACAGTAGGCCAAGCAGCATCAGAGGAGCAGGAAGGCTGACGTTTCGGGCCTAGACCCTTCTTCAAAACTGGGGATTTTTGTATAATATTACTTGTACAAGGACACCCAGGTCTCATTGCACCTCCTTCTTTCCCTATGTATCACAATTCAAAAGTAATCTGCTGTCTTTTTTGCTGCTATCAACGTGGATGACCTCACATTTATGAACATTATAATTAATACGGCATGCATTTATCCTTTCAATCTGTACAAATCACACTGAAGCATCTCTGCACCCTCCTGACAGTTAACCCTCCCATCCAGCTCTGTGTTGTCTGCAAAAATGCCAGTTCTTGTTTGTTGTAAGGTTGTGCCAACAAATCTAATTTCCTACTTTAAAAATCACATGACGTCAGCAGTGAGGTGATTCTTGATGTCCAGAGCAGAAGTCCCATTTTTCAACAACAACAAGACATGATTCTTGCTAGTGAATAGCAAGAGGCCAGATTGCATACATCACTATGTATTAGCATCTCATTATTGGTTAATCTCACCTCATTGATACACAGTTTCACATTCTCCCAGCCACCAGACAGAAACTGGACAGTAACAATTCCTGATTTAAAAGTCAGAACGTAGCCTGGTGATTTTGCTGCTTGCTCCTCCAGCACTGCAACTTGGACATCGATCACCAATGTCTTAGGCGTGCTCCACGTACAGCAACTGCTCACAACTCCTATCCAAGAAGTTTGGCATCGGACACATACCAGCCCCATGGCATACCTCCAATTCATTTACAATATGGTTCTGCACATTGATGCTGCACTTGAGTGCATCAGCACCTTCTATTGCAATGCTGCAGACAGGCTCCCATCTCATGGATTTGACCAGGGTGTATCTCAGGGCTCCTCACTTTGTGTCTTAGCACTCCCTCACTTTGTGCCTACTTGGATGCTCACTGCATCTCTGCCTTGCAATGCCTTGCCTTGTATTTTTTGCACTTTGCCCCCTCAGCTAGAGCTTAAAGTACTTCTGTCTTTACTTGTCATTTAGCATAAGTATAATGCCAGGCAGCTTGTCATGGGGGGCATCATTGTTCGCACAAGGGGTGGACATGCTGCATACATTAATCTCACACCTACAGTATGTGCCTGCAGTTTATGTGACAAATACACTGCATGTGCATCAATCAAATGGTTATGTCTCAAAGTCTCAGGAGTGTAGTCCTTGTTCATTGTCAGTCCAATTTTAGAGGAAATCAGGGTCAGGATTCTCTCCTATTGAGGGTGAGGAGCCTAACATCAGGCACCCCACCATTTGTCCTGGTTCCTTATGCCCTATTGTAGGCTGTTCTCTCCTGAATGAGACAAATGAAGGAAATGAATCAGATGAAAGTGGCTGGTACAGCTGTTAGTGCTGCCACAAGTAAGAAAGGCCTTGAGTGAATGAGTAGATAGTGCGGAGGTTATGCAGGGTTAATGGTGCAGGGAGATTCAGTGGGTGAGAGTGAATGAGGGAGGATGTTACATATAATAGTAAGGGTGGTAGACCGTGAGCCTTGGTGGGTGGTGAGTGCATTGGAAAAAATAGAGTGAGCGTATGAGGTCACAGAAAGAAGACGGTGGTGCTTTTCATTGCCGTGTGTGTAATGATGTGGTATCTGCTGGTTCTGAGGGAAGATGATGATCCTACTCCACAACATTATGGCCTCCAAGACCCTATTGGCAAAGCCAAGTGCCAATTTTCTTTGTTCAACATGTCTGTGCAAATTGCCAGGAACCATCCAGGGCAGATAGACTGTGTTTGTACTGGTGCATGGCTGGATTTTAAAGATGGTGTTGGTGCAGTGGTAAGTACTTCCACCTAAAGAGTGGGAAGATACACCAAGCCAGGTGTCAGGGTATGATGCATAGGCAATGAGGCGAGCTTGGGAAGACAGTATGGGAAAACTTGCTGGCTCCGCAGCGAAAAGCCCTCTATGAAACTCACCAACATTGACACTTTGCCGATTTCTGGTAAGTTTTAGCCAATGATTCAGGAAGTGCAATGCTATCCATGCTCCATCTAAGATACCTTTCTTCAGGTTGTATTCTAAAGACAGAGCTAAATTTCTCTCATGATTTGGTAGCTTCAAGGCAGGAAGAAAGAAAGCTCAAGCAAAAGGCACATTTTTGAACTGTTTGAGTTATACAGGCAGGCAAAAAGGGCTTGCAATTTGTCTGAATTTTTTTGTTTAAACTGAGAAATATTCAAATGAGGAGTGAAAGGGAGGATGTTAGAGGAAATGTATTGAATGGAAAATAGGGCAAAGGTAATGGTACGTAATGATGTCTGGCTTATGGATAGAAAGCACTATTTTATTTTTAAACAAATAGATTAAATTTGGGCAGAGCAAATGTTTATGTTAATCGTTTCTGATATAAGACCAGCAATCTGAAACATTAACAATTTATTCTTCATTGATGCCACTGAATATCTCCATCAATTTTCTTTGTACTTAATTTCAGAATCTCAGCATCAGAAGCACTTTGATTTTGTAATGGGGGCCAATCATCCTGTATTGCAAAGTAATTGGTATTTTAATGAATTCCAGCGAGGCATTGATTTTAAATTTTGCAGCATGTAATCTTAAATTAAGTATTCACATGCCAACATTTGCACTGTTCTAGGTCATAAGGATTGTTATAAGTAGGACAAAGTGATTTGCCTACAATGTCATTGTTTTTGAAAATGTCACTTATGTAGTCCTCAATCAGTTCATTCTAGACAAATGTCACAAATGACGCTGCCAGTCCATTGGCTTTCCCCATTCAATACAGAAGAGTAAAGATTGACATGATCAAGGCCTTTAAGGTTGTGAAAGGGATTGACAAGGTCATCCAGAGAAAATGCCTGCACTATTGGTAAAAATAACACACAGGGCCATAGCAATTAGATAGCCACTACAAAGCCAATGAAGTATTCAGGAATAGCTTCTATACACAGAGTAGCAAGAATGGAGAAATCATTGCCACGAATAGTAGATGAAGAAAATAGTGTAGATACATTTAAGAGGAAGCTTATGTGGAGCATAACTATCAGCATAAGATAGTTGGGCCAATTTACCTATTTCTATGGTGCATATTCTACATAACCTTTTCTGGTAACACTCTATGATTCTATTACCCATTGCCAGTCAAATTACAATTTCTTTCAACAGAAACCAAAACACTGACAAATCAGGTTATTGACATCAATATTAGAAATGAACAATCCAATGACCTTTTCACATATGCATTTATTATTTGCATGGGTGCAGAGTTTGCATGTTTACAATCTTACCTACTCTACATCACTTCAGCTTCCATTTAGAAAATCACATGCTTCACGATTCTGAGCAATTTTCATTTTCAGTAAAATCAAAATAGTAAAACCAACAGTGAAACTTCCCCAATTGTGGGCAAACAAGTGTGCATTACTCTAACTCTGTTGGCTGGATGGTTTGTTTGCAATGCAGAATAATGCCAACAGCGTAATTCAATTCCTGCACCAGCTAAGGTTATCATGAAGGACTCTCCTTCTCAAACTTTCCCCTTGCCTGAGGCGTGGTGAGCCTCAGGTTAAACTATCACCTGTCATCTCTCTGTAATGAGAGAGCAACCCTACGGTGTGCTAGTACTATGGCGACTTTACTTTTTTTATATGCCTTTTTTTGATAATACTTCTGTGAAGCACCTTGGGACATTTTATTATGCTCACGTTGCTACATTAATGCAAGTTGTTGTTGTGACTTAAGATTGTGATCAATTTGCATTTTGACAACACTGGCACTTTAACAGCTATGAATAGCAAAAAAATCTTCAGGATCCCAGAAAAGCAGTAGCAGGATGACTAATTGTATTACACAGTGTATCCATATTCCTGGTAAAAGAAGTTCCGATATCAGCATTTTTCTATATTTCAGAATGCAAATGATATTTTCTTCATTATTTCCTGTAAATGATGTCACTTTCTTTCGTCTCTATACGTAGAAATAAATGATTAAGATCCCTCAGTTCCCTCCACTGTGTCCTAAAGACAAAATAGATTCCTACCATTTTGTCTCAATTCTGATTTGGGCCAATTATCTGAAGGCAGTTGGGGGAGGAGGCGAGGAAGAATTGTGAACACACACCTTCAGAGATAAGGGAAATATGTTTGGAGATTTTTTAAATTTTATCTTAAAATGGCACTATCGTAACATGAAAATGTTGAGCAAATATTTTTGTCAGATGCTTGAAATAATCACAACAAAGAATAAACCATGCTTGTAGAATCTTTAGCATAATTAAGCATCCTAACTTGTTCATACTAGGTTAGAAAGCCATCAAAAATGAAAACGAAGTATTGATTCATTTCTGAAAGAAATAATTCAAAAGCAACAAGCATAAGTTAAAGTTACATAGATCCTGTTTAAAAATAAGGAATCTTACTTCCAGTACCATGACTAATTCTGGTATCCAAATTCCAAAAACCGTGTATACAGACATTGAATAAAGTTCAAAAAATATTTTCTAGAATTGCGAGATTGGTCTAAATCTCGTGCTTGTTGGCTAGTGACAGTTGATTTTTTTGGGCTGTTCTTTTGCTGTGAAGCATAATGAGATTTCTTGCCATATCTTTCCACACCCGCCTCATTAACTATCTAGACTGCCCTGCGGCATCCATCTCATTCAATTCTATCCCCATCTTACCATGCATTGTTCCCGGAACAAGTCACCAATCAATGGATATTCGCCAAAAGATTGACATTTCTTGTGCTGAGCCATCTATAAAAGGCTGCTGCACTAGCCCAACAACCCATTTCAACCCAGTGCCCAGGTGGCAACCCACCACATTGAATTTTCCTCCAACTGTCCTCCCTGCCTGAAACCCTGACATTGCAGCTTTGGTCTGCTAAGCCCCCTGATGAAGTCCTGGGTGATGGCCACAGCCAATAACATGCAATCTCAGCTATGCCCTCCAATGCTGTTTTGTCTACCCCATACCATCCTTGTCCCCATGGCTACTCATGCTTCTGCCTCCCACTACCCCCAAACATACCTATCTTGAGTCTCACTGCCCTTTCAGTAGAGAGCCCTCTGCCCTTTCAGGGCCCCTTGCACCATCCTCAACAATCAATGTATTCACTCCAGATATCTGGCTGACTTTCACATGCACCCTCTAGGCATGAACGACCAGATCCTTGACCGCTGTCTAGCAGCTCCCTGAAAGATGATTTGCGATTCCCCTGACGGCTTGTGATGGTCATGCAGGACAGACCACTACCGACTCCTGAGATTGTTGTCAGGCAAATCCCCTGACCATATTCAATCTGACTGTGGCCAAGTCACTGGATTGTGTATGGATTGTGTCTTTGACTGACAGTACCAGGACCCCATGACAGATAGCATCCATCCTTGACCAGACTGAGGACTCGCCCCCAACCACTTTTCGACATGGCTCTTTGGTTGAATAATGTGCAGTGCGTTTACCTCACAGGCAGCTGGCACATGCTGTAGGTGTTACATTGTCATCTCGGTGTGCTGTGCAACAAGACTTTCCACTATGCCCATTCCCAGACACATCCCGACTTATAAGCATCACAAGTAGCCTGTCTGTGTTTGCACAAAAGAAGACCTCGATTTTGGCTGTTGGCTCTAACTAAAGCACCAAAGCACCACTAGGCAGGGCATGGCATTTATGCTGTAAACATGCAGTTAGGCATCAAGTGACTGGGTGCTAAGACAGCTAACAAGCAACCCTGAGATGCAGCCTGGCCCAACCAGGCTGGGTCCTGTCCCTGCATGGAAAGTGTCTTTGCAGCAGCCTTTCAATACTAGCTACCAGTGCGCTCACCAAGCCAGATCTGTCCCTCTTAAGTATCCTGCAAGTGGATCTGAAGGGTGTCATGAGGATCATGAGGGATTGGCAAATGTTGGATGCCAGTGTCATGACAAGTGGTGCATGTGACTGGTTGCTCTGGATCATGCCATCAGATGCTGTTGCATAGTGACCAACATGAAGGCTATTCACTGCCACTGGCGAGCTAAACTTGCCAGGTATCTGCTCTGTTTCCATGTTTAGAATTCTCGATTTCTAACTTTGTTGGCATGTTCAGTAAGATAGGAAGTTAACAAGGCTTTTAACAATCTATAACCCCTTTAATTGGCAACTTGTCACTGTCAAGTGAGAAACTCACTTTGTTGCCCAGCAGATGCACGGAAGATTTGAGCGAATTGTTCCTGATGTTGAGGTGGGGCTTGGCAGACTTCTCACATGATTCTTCCACAATGCCTATGATAGCCCACCTCAAACAGACCCTTGTAAGATTCCACTTTTGTTGCGCAAGAGAATCAAAGGTTATTGGGGATAGATGGGAATACGAAATTGGGAACACAAATAGATCAGCCATGATTTTATTAAATGGTGGAGTAGGCTTGAAGGATGAATTGCCTATTTCTGTTTCAATTTGTACACTGCTTTTAAGTATGGAAGTAAAAAATATGAAGGGTTTCAGCAGCAGTCAAGCTGAGGCTGGGACCAAGATAGCCAAAGTATCAGTAAAGTTTATCAGTAAAGTTTATAATCATTCCTTATAAAACAATGATCCTTTAAAAAAACAAGTTAAAATGGTGCTTGGGTTCTTTCTTTTATCTCAAACGGGTTGGATGTCTTTGTTCCTGTAGGTTAAATGGTTAGGTTTAAGTGAAAATGTAAGTACAGAGTTCTGTGATTATCAGATGTTAAAACAATGGGACTCATTCATGAAAAAAAACTGTTAAACTGAGCTTTTAGCTTGGAATATTTAGCTTCAATATGATTTTGTTGTGGTTGCATGCTAAAACTAGCTAACTGTATTAGATATGTGTCCAAGCTGAAGCTAGGGAAAGTCTGACAGGACAGGGCCAAAGACGATTAATTGCTTGACACTCACAAGTTGAAGAAAAAGACAGATGTTTTTTCCCAACTGCAGAAATAGCTTAGAGAGTACATGAGTACATGAATAGTCTGTAAAATGCTGAGAAGCATAAATAATGTAAGTGTATGTATCTGGTTTGCTGTGTAGCTAGGGTGGGAGCCTAAGCCTGTGGGGTACATGTTTGTCTACAGTGGTTGTGTGAAATGTATGAATTTCAACAAAACTTCTTCTCTGTTGACATGACTGGAAAAGAAAAGCATGTTCAGAAATGGCTGCAAGAAGTACATTTCCCTGGGTGGAGGTGGGAGGCAGGGTTGGTGGTTTGTGTGTAGAGCCAGGAGACACAGACTCAAAATAAGAGGCAGGCTCAGATGACTAATTTCTTCACTCAGAAGACAGTGCAGGAGGTCTGTATAGGCTCAGTTGTTCAGTATATTCAAGACTGAGATTAATAGATTTCTACATATTAAAAACATTAAGGGATACTAGGGTAGTGCAGGAAAATGGTTTTGATTAGCCTGATCTCATTGAATGGCAGAGCTGACTCAAAGGGCTTAATAGCCTAATCTTGGTCCTTTTTCTTATATTCTTGTGCAACATTTTTACATTTCCTGTTTGCACAATCTCCCAGAATAAATGTATTCCCCAATTTCTCTAGATATGGTGACTGATTTATTTAATCTTCAGGTACATTTATTTTTTGGGATAAATGACTATAGCAGGTGATTTTTATTTCAGTTTAACGTTATTATATTTTAAGTTTATTTCAGCTACTCATCCAATCTTAGTTGACCTATTTGCTCCTTTGTCTGTTCACCTTCAACCTGCTTGGACTGTGGGATTTGAACTTCTCTGCTTGGATCGTGGATAACTATTTAGCAATAGTGAATAACTAAACAAAAAGCAATTATTGTGTTAGGAACAGAAATGAAAACTACACATTTAAATTACAAATCTTGGCATGAGAGAACAGAAGAAATAAAGTATGTGATAAAATGCAGGATAAACCCTCAATAAAGTATGATGGTTTATCGATTGAGTTTTCCAGAATCTTACAAGTATATGAAATTGATAGGTAGGAAAAGAGTAGCTGATCTGTTAAACTTGCTTTTGATTGGCAACATGTTACACTCATTTTTTTCCCAAATTGGTATAGGTGAGATGCTGAGATAACTCAACATGGGGCACAGTGTTGCCCTGTTGAGGATGAATAGCCTGCTGTTCGTCGTGGAGCTGTGGGAGAGGAATTGAATGAATATTGTAGAACTTCGCTTGGCTCTCTGGGATTCAGGAAATATTTCTACAGAATTCCCCTTCAGGCCTTCAGGAGTCTAAATAAATAATGCACAATGCAAGGTATGGCTGATAGTATTTTTCTTCTGACAACAAAACACACTTTCTTCTTTCTTGTGTGTGTGTGTGTGTGTCTATGTTAGTTATTGGGAACGGGCATCACTGGCAAGGCTATTATTGTCCAACCTTAATTTTCCTTTACCAGTTTGATGCATTTTTCTTGTTGCATGCTTTAATCTTGAGGTTTGTACTGATGATATTGCTGCTCACCTACTATAGTGAGGCTGCCTGCAAAGGACGAAGTTCAAAGGATAATTAGGGGTGAGAATCAAGTGAACGATTGTTAAAACTGATAGGTTAGTCAGAAGAACGTTGTCCAAGAAGTTGTTTAGAATTCTTCCTGCTGTCAGAAACCAGGCAGGTGGGCATTTAAACAATGAGAAAAGTTTGCTTATTTGGACAGTCATTAAACATCCCAGCATGACAGGTGAAACAGGTGAAGAAGTTCTCTTGCTCTGAACTCTGTCAGACAGCAACTGTCAAAAGGAACAAGGACAAAAATATTTCAATCAACCTGTCAATAAGCCAAAGATCTTAAATTAAACAGGTCAAGCATCAATGTCAACGTTACCGGTACCAGTCCAAGTAACGGCTGTAGCGTTTTACCTTCTAGTTTTTCACAAACAACTCAAAATTTTATTTTCTTTTTGGACTGACTTCTTATTCCTAGTCTGTGTGTATTGTGTTATTACTTCTTCTCGAATTTAGTAACTCATATACTCACTCTTTTATTAACTCAAGAAACCGGGCTAAATTGACTCCTTTTAGAATATAAATGAATTTGGTCTGGGGGAATGGTATCAACAATGGAAGGGATCCTTTTTAAATTAACCTTGTTGTGAGAAATCAAGGGCCAGGTGAATAAAGAAGAGGAGCCAGTTCATCCATCCTCACCCAGGAACTTAATGACTGGTGGTATCCCATCTGGAACTATAACAAAATTTGGAAACCTCACCCCAGGGACTGGCTGAAACACTGATGAGTGCTTTCAGAATTTTTGACAGTTTCAATGAGATTGCCTCTCATTCTTTTAAATTCTAGAAAATACAGGTCCTAGCTCAGTCTCTCTTCATCGGATAGTTGTGCCATTCAAAAAGAGACTCCACAAGTTTCCACTGCATTCCTTTTATGAAAAGTATATCTTTCCTTTGGTAAAACTGTACACAATACTCCAGGTGTGGCCTCACCAAGGTTTCATACAATTGGAGAAAGGCATCTTTACTATTGCAAGAAGATTTGAGTAAATAAAGGACATATTGCCATGTCAGATCATTGTTTTCTAAGTGTCCAATTATCACATCATTTATAGTAGATTCTAATATTTTCATGATTACTGATGTCAGACTAACAGTCTGTAGTTCCCCATTTTCACCCACCCAACTTTCTTAAATAGTGGTGTTACATTTGGATTTTCTATAATTTGGAGGTAATATTCCCAAATCTATAGAATTTTGATTGATAATCACCAATGCACCCACAATATCTACAGTCAACTCTTTCAATAGTTTGGAATTTATATCATCAGATCCTGGAGATTTGTCAACTTTCAGTCCATTATTTTCTTCAATACTATATTTGAAATTTCTTTCAGTTCCTCATTCTCCCTAATCTCTTGGATCACTATTTCTGAGAGGTTTCTTGTATACAGAAGGCAGATATAAAGTAATTATTAGTTTCTCTGCTATTGTCCTATTTCCCATTGTACATTTCTGCCTGTAAAGAATCCACAGCTGTCTTTATTAATCTTTTCCTTTTTCCATAAATAGAGAATCTTGTACAGTCCATTTTGTTTTTGTGTTTATTACTAGTTTACATTCATATTCCATTCTCCTCTTCTTTACACATTTCTTGATACTTCTTTCCTGAATTCCAAAATGCTCCCAGTGCCCAGGCTTATTACTATTTTTTGGCCACTTTCTAAGCCTCTTCTTCTGATCTAACAGAAGATTTAAATTCCTTTGTTAGTCACAATCGACTCATTTTTCCTGTTGGGTTTTATGTGTTAAAGGAATGTATGTTTGTCACAAACCTTGAATTAGATATTTAAATACAAGATATTGTCCATCTACAATCATAGTCTTGAATGTATTTTCCCAATGCACCACAGCTAACTTGTCTCTCCAACCTTCATAGCTTCCTTTGTTTAGATTTAAGATAACTGTTTTGGATTAAATCACATTAGTTTCAAAGTTAACGTAAAAGTATTTTGGTCAGTCTTCCCTAAAGCTTATTCTATAACAAGATTAGTAATTAGCCCTTCTCTTTGCATTACACTAGGTCTAAAATGGCCTGGTTCCTCAACATGCTGCACCAGAAAATCAACTCATACACATTCCAGGAATTTGCCTTTCACACATCAGCTCATTAGAATTACACAGTCTACATGCAAATTGAAGTCACCCATGATTACTGCCTTACCTTGTTACATGCACCCACTAATTTTCATATTTGTATCACACCCAGTATTACTCCATAACTCCATTACTCTTCTTCAAACTAATGTCATGGGATATTTTACATTCACCTAAACAGACAGATGACGCTTTAGTTTAACATCCCATCGAAAACACAGCTCCTCTGACACTGCAGTCTTTCCTCCCCCATTAAACAGTTTGATTGGCTCTGGCAAAATTGAAGCAGCAGCAGTAAAATTGTCCAATTCACAATATATTGCATAGGAGTGTCAGCTTCTTTTGTTTTTGCGCTAAAGCTCTGCAGTTGGACTTGAATGTGAAAACTTGTGACTCAGAGGTGAGAGTGCTACCCACTGAACCACACAGCAATTTCCGATTTTAAAATGCAGATGGATGTAGTGCCTGCTTAGAGCAATGGGGTGCCTTGTGATTTGATGAAGATCAGGGACCTATTGCATTAATAGATGCCAATTGGATTTTCGCCAAAGTCTGAGTGATGGAATAGCCAAAGATTGGGTGATGTTTGGCTGCAGCAGGTATGTGGACTATAAAAAGGTTTTCCAGGGTAAATGTGGAACCAGGAGCAGGATTCTGAGATTGTGAAATTCCCTCACCATGGCTGCCCCTACTGGTCATTTTGCCCTCCCCCCTTATCAAATCCACACTCCCCCAAACCACCTCCAATTCTTCACTTACCCAAAAATTGCTAAGTTGCTAAAGTGTCATCTGGTCTTTTGCTATCAGCAGCCACTCTGTTTTCTCTTCCCACTGTAACTTGGATTGGCTGTATCATGGAGAAAATTCAAATTTTGAATGGTTATTGATATAAGACAGCGATTAGCAAATCCATTAAATAATTCAAGATAAACTTCATTACCCAGGAAAATGTGAGAACATCAAACACATTACCGCAGAAGTTGAGGTGATGGCACCATTTAAGATAACTGATAAAAAAAATGAAGAGAAAAAAGAGGACATATGGAGAGGATGAGATGAAAGAAACTGAGAAGTTGCTCATACAGAGCATAAACACTAGATAGGCTGAATGGCTGCTTTCATTGCTGTAAATTCTAAGTAATTCTCTGTAAATGGGATTCAAAATCTAGTGTACTTAGAGCCTGAAATATTCAACCACTTTCTCCTGAAATCTACTTGAGATTAAAATCAACTTCCAGGTTTTGTTACAATAAACAGTCAGTCCTATTTTAAATTGCTGCATTCTCTTCAATGATTAAAAGCTATGCTTCAAAGCTCTCCAGTGAAATAAAGTGTCTGTTTGGCTGTTACTCTGATCTCAAAATGATTGGCTACATCTCAAAAAAGGATTGTGGGATGTCAAGTAGCTGACTCAAATGAACATTTTTAGAAAGTACATTTAGAAGGGTCAGTCAGTCTGCCAAAATCTTTCTGGAACAAGCCATTAATACACTGTGTATTTTATAGATTCTTCCTTTTCATTCTCTACAGGTTTCTGTTTTTTCCAGTGTGGAGCTAGAGGAGCACAACAGGCCAGGCAGCATCAGAACAGCAGGAAAGTTGACATTGCGGGTCGGGACCCTTCTTCAAAAATGGGGGAGAGAGCTCCGAAATAAATAGAGAGAGGAGGTGTGGGGCTGGGGAAGTTTGGTGGAATGGTGATAGGTGAATGCAGGTAGGCAGTGGTGGGGATTGATCAGTGGGATGGGAGGAGCGGATAGATGGGAGAGAAGATGGACACGTTGTGTCAGATCAAGGAGGCAGGGATGAGAGGGAGGGTTGGTCATGGGATGAGGCCAGGGGTGGGGAAATTTTAAAACTGGTAGAGTCCACATTGAGACCATTGGGCTGTAGGCTCCCAAGGTGGAATATGAGATACTGTTCTGCCAGTTTCCGGATGGCGTCATTGTGACAATGGAGGAGGCCCAGGATGGACATGTTGCCCAGTGAGTGGGAGGGGGAGTTGAAATGGTTCGCGACTGGAAAGTATTGTCATTTGTCGCGAACAGAGCGCAGGTGCGCTACAAAGTGGTCTCTGAGCCTCCACTTTCAATTTCAAGCCCACCAACTCCCACAGTTACCTAGTCTACACCTCCTCTCACCCACCTTCCTGCAGGAATGCAATCCCCTACTCCCAATTACTCTGCCTCCACCGCATCTGCTCTCAAGATGGGCATTCCACTCCCGAACATCCCAGTTGTCCTCTCATTTCAAGAATCGCAACTTCCCCCCTTCAGTGGTCGAAAATGCTCTCGACTGCATCTCTTGCGTTTCCTGCACCTCTGCCCTTACATCCTCTACCCGCAACAAAAACAAAGACAGAATCCCCCTTGTCCTCACATATCACCCCACTAACCTCTGTATCCAACGTATCATTCTCCACCACTTCCGCCACCTGCAATCCAACCCCACAACCAAAGACATATTTCCCTTCCCACCCCTACCTGCCTTCTGTAAGGACCGCTCTCTCCACAACTCCCTCTTCCGTTCCACACTCCCAACTAGCCCCATCACCTCCTGCACCTTTCCCTGTAACCGCAGGAAGTGCTACACCTGCCCCTACACTTCCCCCCTCACCTCCATCCAAGGAACCAAACAAACCTTTCAGATTAGACAGAGGTTCACCTGTACATCCATCAATGTGGTCTATTGCATCTGCTGCTCCCGATGTGGCCTCCTCATCCTATGACCAACCCTCCCTGTCATCCCTGCCTCCTTCACCTGACAGAATCTATCCATTTTCTCTCCCACCTCACTGACCAATCCCCACCACTGCCTACCTGCACTCACCTATCACCATCCCACCTACCTTCCCCAGCCCCACCCCTCCTCTCTCTATTTATTTCAGAGCTCCCTTCCCCCTCCCCCATTTCTAAAGAAGGGTCCCAACCCAAAACATCAACTTTCCTGTTCCTCTGATGCTGCCTGGCCTGCTATGTTCCTTCAGCTCCACACTGTGTTATCTCTGACTCTAGCATCGGCAGTTCTTACTATCTCTGTTTTTTCCATAATGTTTCTCCACTCCTGAAAGTGTGGATCATGCTTCCAGGCCGCTAATAATACTCTAGTAACTCACTTAATCAATCACCCTTTCCTTTTTTTTGTAATTTAATGGCATCTTGGTGTAACTCGCAAGACCAACATTTGTTGTCCATCCCTAACTGATCAATCTGTGTGCAATTGAATGACTTCTTTGCCATTTCCAAGGGCAGTTAAGAGTAAGCCACATTTCTGTTGGTCTGGAATTATATCTAGTCAGACCAGATAAGGATGGCAGATTCTCAGAGCGTAAGACCAATAAATAATTAGTAATATTTGGAAATGAACAATCCAGTAGGACTGGTCCTTCATTTTGAAATATAAAAAAATGAGTCACACCAGAAAATTGTGTTTGCCAGTTTTTCTGTATTTTCCTTGTAGATTTCCCTCCCTAACGAAGGTTCAAGTGTATTAAGGAATGGACTTTCTACAACAATCAATAACAGTTTAATGGTCATTATTACTGAGTCTAGCTTTCTGAGAATCTGCCATCTATATTTTATTAACTGAATTTAATTTCCACTAGCAGTGGAATTTGAACTCATGCTCCCAGAAAATTATATTAGCTCTCCAGATTACTAATCCAGTGATACTGCATGACGCCATCCTACCCTCCCACCATGAACGAGGACATTTTAGAGATATTTTAAATTTTCTGCTATTCAAGCTGCAGTGAATCCTTAACAAGATTTATTTCCATTTTTAATATCATTCATTTCAACGATGTGAAATTTTTAAAAAATCTGTCTTGTTGGGTCTATAAATACAGACAAAATCTGGGAGGTCAAGCAGGAATCATTAATTCACTTCGTAATCTTTAATCGGATTGTCTATCAACACCCCCCTTGAGTCAATTGATAAAACGTAGATAAAATGTTAAAGTTCCTCAAACTTCTCTAATTATTTCCCCACTACATTTAGTTTATGTAACAGAATGCATGTGTAGAGAATAGATCATGTCAACTTGCCCCTACTGTTACAAACACATTACTGCACCAATATACTGTTCTGCTACTCGTTATCAAGAAATTAAAATTAAAATTCAGGAGATTCTACACGATCCAAAATTATGGTACAGTGTAGAAGAAAACCCAGAGTATCTGTCTGTTGAAAGACCTATCTAACTTGGCTCACTCCCAGAAACTTTCCTCATATCCGTGCAATATTTTCTTCAATTATTTACTCAATTCCTTTTTGAAGGTCACTGTTGAATCTTTATTCTCCAACCTGTGAGGCAGTGCATTCCAATTCCTAACAATGCATTGTGTCAGAAAGCTTTGTTTCATGTCACCTCTGGTTCTTTTGGCAATTGCCTTAAATCCACACTTTCTTTATATCAACCTTCAGCCAAGGGAAATGACTTACTCTTATTTACTTCCTTTATTATTTTAAGCAAATTACTGCTCTCTGCTCTTATGTGATCAACACCCGCTTCTCCAGTCTATCCACATAAGTGTACACATAACATCTCTCATCTCTGGAATCAGTCTAGAAAATCTCTTTACTCTCTTCATGGTCTTCATGTCCTTCTGAAAGTGTGACACCAAGAACTGAACACAGTATTTTAGAGAAATAGCTATGTCTATTTCATAAATGTTGTTTGCATAAGAAATAAGTCACCTCAACATATTTGTTTCCACTTATTGCTGCTTTTAGCTCATATTCATAAGGTTATGGGTTTGAGTCGAACACCTGAGTATTCGATCAAGACTGATATTTAAATATAAAATAATGTTAGTGTTCCATTTTTGAACATGCTAACCCCTTTGACTGAGACTTTAGGATTAATTAGATCTCATCTATTTGTGAAGATCCCACAGCAATCAAGAGGTGAGAGTTACCCAGTATCCTTGCCAAAATTATTTCCTCAATAAGCCCCACCAAAAACAAATCAACAAGCACTTTATCTCACTACTGTTTCCTGAACGTTATTTGTAAAATGTCTGCTATATTTTACCAATGAAATAGCAGGGTGTGCATTCCAGAAGTAACATTACATATAGCTCTGAGATGTTTTGATAGTGCAACAAGGTGCAATGTAAATTTTTTTTTGACATCACAAATAATCAACCAAGGACACTACGAACAATATAATTTACAATCATTTCCTAACCATGTGAATAATTAATAAACAAAACAACTGTTTGAATTGGTGGGTAAAGGCCAACGGAAATAACTCTTTAACAGTTACTATGTAGATAAAGAATATATTAAATTCGAATGTAATTTTATGTGCTGTTACTACCAAGTACTGAGCAAAATGTATGTAATTTACGAAGAAACGTTATGTTTGATCAAGATCATACATGCATCAAGATTTTATATAAACCCTTAAAGTGCCAATCTGCTGACCTTTCTCCCCTAGATCATGTAATACTTTATTTAGTAACTTCATCCATCAAAAAACTATTTACAGCCAAACTAATTTTCCTTCTAAAATCTGCTGGTGCTTCAAAGCATTGTTTGCCTTTAAGGGTGTATTTATTAATGAACTGAGCAGAATAACTAGTGTTCCAATGTCTTGTGGGTAAATGTCACAAGTTGTGATAAAGAACAAGATGATTTAGGTTTGAAAGTCAGTTTGCTGTGACTTAGCCAAGATGGAGAAGTTACATGAATAACCTCAGAGTCCATGCATTAAGGAATGATCCCATATTCAGCCTATGTTCTTGGAAAACAATCAAGGGCAATTGTAGATACTGCTGATCAAACACTCAAGAATGACTGGTTTTTCAAAGCTCATAACCAAAGGAAAAATGTGATAAACAA